TCCTGGAGGATAAAATGAACTAGTATATATTCAAACAAGGTTAACTTTGCTGCCATCTAGAGGCAGTTATTTCACACTTGCTGTCTTTATTTAAAAACCCCAAGAGCTGCTTCCAAAGAAGATGTGGAACAGAAGGAGAAGGTGGGAGTTTGTTTGTATGTAATTTCAGTGTCCCTTCCATAGAATCATACATTTCCTAGTGGGTGCTCAGCATGCATTGTGAGATTAAAGCATATTTCTCTGCTTCTAAGTGAATCCACATTCTGCTTGAGGATGCCAGTGGATTTATTTTCATCACACTGAAGTTGCTGCATGTAAAATGCTGAGGATAAAGAGCAGTCTGAAGAAAGTGGAGATGCCAGTATCTTATCTTTTAAAGTATGATTAAGAATTTAAAAGTAGGGCCGGCCCGGTGGCGCCCTGCTACAGTGCGCCGCTTGGGAGCGCAGTGGCGCTCCCGCTGAGGGTTCGGATCCCACATACAGACCGGTTCCCGCTCATTGGCTGAGCGAGGTGTGGGAGCAACACCGAGGGTTGCGATCCCGTTGCCGGTCCCGGTCCGGTACGGGTGCGACACTGAGGGTTGCGATCCGTTGCCGGACACGAAAAAAGACAAAAAGGAAAAAAAAAAAGAATTTAAAAGTAGACCTCAGTGGAAAATGTTGGTTTATCAAAGTCGTCATTAAAATGCTTTCATAGGAGAGTTTTCCTTTGGGGACCCATGTGCAGTTCAGTGAATCTGCAAGCCTTAAGAAGCCCTTTGTGAGAGGACGTGTCTCACAGGTAGTGAGGAGATCAGTGGAGAGCACCCAGCATCTTTTCCAGATGTCTAATCTTTTGACATATAATAACATAACTTTAAGGCTAGAGCATCAAGCCACAATAGAGCAATTCAAATATATCATGAATGGCACTTCCAGTCAAGATGGCGGAATAGACGGTCCCCAGCGTCACTCTTCCCCACAAATCTACCAATTTACAACTATAAAAAAGCAACAACAGCCAAGCTGGGGCTTCTAGAGCTCAGGGGAAGAGGAGGAGAGACCTACGGAGTGCATGAAGGCGGGAGAAGCCGCAATGAGAGAAAGAAAAAACCACACCAACCATTTCATGCTGTGGCCTCTTTAAGGCTGGAGCTGGCAAAAACCACAACTGTGCCTTTCAGATGAAGTTGCTTGGAGGCGGCCCCAGGCCAGTAAGACCACTAATAGGGTTCCCATGTACCCACAAAAGAGTGAGGAGCCAGAACAACTGAAAAAAGGAGCCACTCAGAGGCCGGTGAGTCATCGCAAGGGACCGGCACATGGCCCGTCCTATGGGAAGTGTTTGCAGCACAGGCAGTGGGGGAGATGGGTTCACCAGGGGAACACTGAGGCACAGCAAGGACAGCTGACTGGCATCACAGTCAGTGAAGGACCACTCAGAGGAGACAGGTCAGGAATGCACAATTGTATGGGGTGCAGGTTAATGAAGACTCAGGCCCAGATCAGAGGAGTTTCTGCACAACCCAGGTGCACCGGATCTCTCGAGAGCTGGAAGTACCTATAAAGTCAACTATTAAAACCTGAGCTGCACAAAAAGCCTTCCCCAAGGAATCAGGAGCAAAGCAACAATTTAGCTCAACCACACAGCTCAAGTACTGGTCCCCACAGGAAGTTCCCCCATTTTAGAAATAAGGAAAGGACAAAAAATTTAGTTCTGGCCCAGGCACACTGCCAGTGCCTAGGGGCCCAACTGGGGACCTGAGGCATGCAGCTGGGGACCGGATCCCCTTCCCACAACTATGTACACCTCCAGGGCCTCAGGTCCTGCCTGGGGACCTGAGGCATGGAGTGGAGACCCAACCCCCCCCAACCAGGCACACCACCAGCACCAAGGAACATGCCCAAAACATCACCTCCATGTGGGTGGCCCATAACAGCCACCACAATAACCACGGCTGCCATGAAAGTGGCTAGATGCCACAACCACCTTGCGGATGGTCCATCAGCCACTGGAGCACATTGACACAAGGAGAGTCACCAGCAGAAACCAAAGAAAAGAAAAGGATGTCTCTCCCCACAAAGTTCATTCCAGAGTAACAGAAGAAGCATCTGCTCTATGATAATATTGGGGGACCTGATCACATCTCTCAGCACTGGACCCATCATCTAAACAAATCAACAGAGTAACCATTACTCTTTCAGAAGGAGAGAAGAAATCTAGGGTTATCAGAGGTGGGATGGGTGAGAGAGAGGGGGACAGGGAGAGATTGGACAAGGGGCATATAGAGTAAGAATGATTTGTAACAATATATATACTAGTAATATTGATTTGATCAGCATGTCAACGTTGAACCACAAAAATATGTATAATCAATTATGATTCAATAAAAAATTTTTAAAAATTTGTGTGTGTGTGTGTGCGTGTGTGTGTATCATGAACTTCTGTGGCCTAAAGATTACAATTTACC